TGGGGGAGGCGTGGGGGAGGCAGTGGGGGAGGCGTGGGGGAGGCGTGGGGGAGGAAGTGGGGGAGGCAGTGGGGGAGGCAGTGGGGGAGGCAGTGGCTCTGGTGGCCGCCGCGGTTCCTTGACCTCGACCCGGATCAGCTCGCCCAGGGTGCTCCTCGCGGGGCTGTGGCCCCAATTTGGAGTCGGAATTAAGAATTGGGGGCGACGCGCGGCCCGTATCTTTTATTCATCATCGCCGCCCGGCGCAGAGAGATCCGCTCCCGACGCCGTGTGCATGATAATGGAACGCGCCGGACGCGAGTCGTGAAATTTAATTCTCTTTCATTTGCCAGGCGATGGGAATTTGTCGAGTTGGAGACGGTGCTGGTGATGCTGGTGGCGGTAGTGGTGGAAGTGACCCGAGTTCGATTTCCGCTCACGGCCAACACCAGTGACGAGTATCTGAACTGGGCTTGGGCCTCCCATAGGTTGACTCAGCCTGAAATGAGTACCTGGTGCGATGTGTAATCGTCGCCACTGGGGATACAAAGGCGGCCGGGCGTGGTGCTGGCCACCCACCCCCTCGCATGCCGCTCCGGCCTTTATAGGTGCTCGCTTACCATGCCTTCCCTAAAAGTCTGTTAAGGCTGTACGCGTTTTTTGTCACACGTAGAGAGATCTGTTGCGTGTTTTGGTGTTATTTGCCACGCATTCGACAGCGGTGTGTCAGGTTGGAAGAAGGATGTTCGTCTTTAGTCGTATGCTGCTTCCATGTAGCGAGTGCACTGGACCGTGCCCCTGTGGACTTTGACAGTCCGTGGTCACTGCGTGTCGAGGCCCTTTAAGGAGTCCGCTCCACGCCCTGGGAACCCGCTTGGCTTCTGAGATCTGCTGCTGCTGCTGCGTGTGTTTGATGGCGGCACCCTCCCTTACACCGAGGGGCCCTGCACACGAGATGAGAGGCTTGGGTCGCAATCTCAACTCGTTAGAAAGGGGGCACCCCCAGGGGCAGTTGTCTCTGTGCGGCTCAGCACCAAGGCATGCAGGAGGGTGTTAGTCTCCCGGTAGGGAGGCGATGATTGCTGCTGCTGCGTGCTACCCCAAGCAAGTCCCCGTGGGTCTCGACAAATCGAGCCGAGCACTGAGCGCTGAGCCAGCAGTAGAATGAGATCCCTGGAGAGACATCGCGCCCTCGGGGAAGCATCACGGAGGGGGAGGAGGGAGGGAGGAGGAGGAGGAGGGAGGCTGAGTGACTGATCGCCGGTGGTGACATGGACGGCATCGTCATCACGACCATCGGAATTGGAATCCATATTTATTTTGGAGTTCTGAAGCTCTGTTTACAGATGTCCAGTAGGGGCGGGTTAGAAAGTGACAACACTACAACAATTAACACTACAACAATTAACAATACAACAATTAGCAATACAACAATTAACAACACAACGGGAAAAAACGAAGGATAGGAGTGCAAAGTAGAGAAAGGGTAAGCAAGTCACGACTAATAGATACATTAAAAACAAATTTAGTTCGTAAGTACAAATTTCACCAAATGCAAGCTTGGGCAAGGCAGCAAAATAACAACAAAAGACAATCCCAGACCCCACCGAGACAACACACAGCCCTTAATACAATTGCATGTTAAAATGTAACTGTCGATACACGGGTGTGGATCAAATTTACAAATCACACTTACAAATGTGATTGTATCCAACACCAATCTTCTGCTTCAGGATACCATCATCAACAATCATCACCAATATCTACCATCGTTAACAGTGATCATAGAGAAGAGAGCAGGGAGGGAGGGATGGGGAAGAGAAGGGGAGAGGCAAAGAAAGGTCGAGGGTGATTAAGAGATGGCACGGGGAGAGAGGCGAGAACGATACGGAAGGCAAATGAAGATAGGGTGACACAGAAGGATAGATAGGAAGAGAGAGGGAGGGAGGTAGGATAGAGAGAGAGAGGATAAAGGGAGAGATTAGGAGATGGAACAAGATGCGAGAGAGAGAGAGCGTCTCTCTCTCTCTCGCTCTCTCCGAGCCCGTGTGGATTCTCATCGATTGGCTACGGCAGAGGCCGATTCAAGTTAATTCCTCGCGTTTCTGGAACTAATCATCACCTTGTCCAATCCATGGAGGGTGGGGGGCGCGGAGGAGCCCCCCTTCTTGAAGCAGAGAGCCGCTGCTCCCCCGCGCTCTATCTCTCTCCTCTACCCCCCCTCCCTCCCTGCCTGTGCGTTGTCTCTACGATCCCTCCTCGTGGCCCTCCGCGCACCTCCACCCATGGTAGCCTCACTGAGTCTCAAGACACTTTTCCAGCAGGGTCCTGCCAGGTTTTCACTGTGTGTGGGGGGGGGGGGCGGGCGATGTTGCAGTGTGGTCCCAATCGAGAGTGCTTTGGCGGAGATACGTGTCCAGCATTCGGATGTTTGATCGATGCCAGTTGCATTGCACTGGGAGGAAACCGGAGAACCTCTGCAGTACAGCACCCGGACACACAAATTCCACGCACCCTTACGCTCACTCTGCATCTCAGTCGGAGAATGAACTCACCTCGGCTATTCTAGTTACCAAGTGAAGCCTCGCAAGCTACTGGTTATTAGCTTGTGTTTGTCAGATGCGACCTCAGAGGCGACCACAGATGACGATAGCTCGTCCAAGTGGCGGATATCACCACACGCGCGAATTTGGAGTGGCAGCCAAATAATCTAAACGCAAATTATTATTAAACGCGGAGGGGGGCAAATCCAGAGGATCCCGGAGAACAATCGACCGCGACCGTCACGGGGAGAATATCTACCATCCGCACGGCTGGCTATGTACGGTGTGAAAGAAGTTCGACATACGTCCAAACAGCACGCAAACTCCACTCAGAAAGGAGCCCGAGTCCGGGATCGAACTCGGAGGCCTCTTGCTGCACCAGCACCGCCCCGCGCTGTGCGCGTGAATCACCGCGTGCGGAGCTCTCCGCTTGCACCAAGCCTCGGATCGAGCAGCGGCCTCGGGAGCGATTAACCGGGTCGCTGGGAGGGGTCGCTAATTCATCGATATAGAGGATCGCGGAGCTTGGGCAGTTGTGGCGACGGTTGGCCCGCGTGGCTGCTGCCGCCTGGCCGCTGGCGTGTGGCTCCTCCTCGCGCCTCTGAGTCGCTCTCTCTCTCTCCCTGGAGGCGAGCAAGCCGACACTGCGCAGCGCCGTTACGAGTCGACGCTATGATGATGATGATGATTTTTAAGGAGAACGGGCGAGGAGGAGCCGCGTCTTATGGAATCGCGAGCGCATCGACGTCGGATTTGTGCGGCACGAAAAAATATTTCCATTAGCATCGCAATTTAGGGTGAGTCACGCATGAAATTGTCTTTTCAGGTTTGTGTGCGGTCCCCTCTCTCTCTCTCTGCGTAATGCGCGACGCTCACTCGCCGTCTGTGCGCCCCGAATCGGCGCGCGTCCCATCATTTTGAAAGGTCCAGAGATGATTTCGCCCTCCCACTCTTCATTGCGTCTCACGGCCGACGCGATGCGCCCCGAGTGGGAGATTCACTCGCGCGGACTATGAACACGGAGCGAGCGCGCGCGTGCGTGTCCGCGCGTGCGTGTCCGCGCGTGCGCTTGCGTGCGTGCGTGTGCGTGTGTTGGGTGAGGAGCGGTCGTGTAGTGGTTAGTGCGCCCGTGCTACAAATCCGGCTACCCGAGTTCGATTCCTGCTCACGGTCAACACCAGTGACGATTGTCTGAAGGGGTCCCGGGCCCTCCCCTCGGTCGACAGCGGTGTGTAGCAAACATCGCCACTGGGGAGACAAAGGCGGGCGAGCGCAGTGCTAGCCCACCCACTCCCTCGCGTACTGTTCCGGCCTTCATAGGTGCTCGCTAACAGCACTTGCCCCAACAGCCTGTTAAGGCTACACGAGAGACCTTTGTCTGTGTGTGTCCCATTGAACCTTCACCAACCTCACCCCCACACGATGCGACCTCCCGACCTCTCTGCCCCCCCTTTAATGGCGAGAAGAAGTGGGGAGGGTGCGGGGTAACAGGGGGGGGGTGACAGGGGGTGGGGTAACAGGGGGGGGGGGGGGGGTAACGGGGGGGGGTGCGGGGTAACAGGGGGGGGAGTTGGGAGTGGATGAATGAGTTAGTGAGTCGGTGGACGAGTAGGTGAATGGATGAGTGGTTGAGTGAATGAGTGGGTCGGGGAGTGGGTAGGTGAGTGACGTGCACGCGTGTTTGTGTGCGGGGTGACAGGGGGAGGGATTGAGGGGACTGCTGTCCGTTCTCCTTCTCTCTGGTTCAGCCTCCCAGAGGGAGGGGCGGACCCTGGTGGGGGTGGGTGGAGCGGTCGGATGCCGCGCGCACCCCCACGCCGCGCTACACAGAGAGAGAGACACTGGCGACGTTTGTCTTTTAATCCAGCAGCTGGAGTCACGTCTTCGACGTCGATTTAGTCGCTGCTTGGCCCGGCGGGAGCACATTCGCCGCTTGTTACAGAGGTTCGCAGTTCTACTCCGGTAGACCACCCTGGTCAATGCCGCGTGACTCAAGCGACGCGCGGTGAACGTGAGGTTCCGCGACGTCGTTCGAGACAGGGGGTCCCATAACGCGCCGGCGTGTTGGTCCAGAGCTGGCACAGGGGACAGCTGCCACTAGGGGTGCCCTTCGGATGTTTGGGATGGAATGGGAATGTGAGTAACAATATCAACAAGAGCATCATCGTCGTCACGGTTATGAGTGTTGTTGTTGCTGTGAGTCATGTGCAGCAGCTCGTCCTGGTCACCTGCGAGGCTCTGTCGCCACCACGCGGTCGAACTGCGTCAGCTCACGGTTGTTGATTGAGCGCGAGTGGGTTCACGAGTGGTCGAGTTCGTGAGTGGATGAATGAGTTAGTGAGTCGGTGGACCAGTAGGTGAATGAATGAGTGGTTAAGTGAATGAGTGGGTAGGTGAGTGACGTGCACGCGTGCATGTGTTTGTGTGTGTGGACACGACATGAGGGGGATGGCAACACGATCCAGACTTGAACCGGTGTCTTGAAAAGTCACAAAGTATTTATTTACCAACACGCGACTCAACACAGGCGGCAGTGGTGATGCCACTGTCACTGCTGTTGTTGCTGCCTTAGCACGGCTCAGCAACGCCGCTTTCATCTCTTCCATGGCCATGGAGGAGAGTGGAGTGATGGTGGTCGGTGTGGGCTGGTCACGGCTCCAGGTTGAGGCGACGACACCCGGCCCGGGTTTTGCACAGACCAAACCTGGGCACGTGTCTCGGTCAGCACGAGGTCGATCAACAAAACCGTGCAGTTTACTGCAATAAAGTTCAATACAAGAGCTGGGTGAAAATCGATTCCTGCCACCCCGAGCACAGATACTGCTTGCCGGACCGGTGCCAAACCTATCCCGGTTCCAGTTATAAAACTCAATAGATTCCGCTCCCGAGTTTTCCAAGCTGGAGTGGTGATGTCTGCAGGTTGATTCAGTCAGAAATTAGAGTGTGAAGCCTTTGGCTTCAGATCCCACAAAGAGACGCACAGACTCACAGAGACCCACACACTCACGCAGAGAACCCATAGTCACATTAGTCGCATAGACACACAGACTCATACAGAGACATAGACTCACACAAACCAGGGACTCACACAGAGACCCAAAGAGAAACTGCCAAACAGTGGCTTCATCATCATCACCACGACCACCCACAATTACCCCATCATCATCATTACAGATTGTCATAGTCCTCACCACTGCCACCACCAGTGATTATCCTAATCATCATGATCACCGTCATGATCTTCATCGCATGTCCCTTCCCAACATTCCGGTCATCAGCAAATCCAACTTGCACGTGGCCGTCACGTGGGACTAGAGGCGCCTGTGGTGGCGTCAATGCGGAGGGCAACAGGGCGATGTCTGCCTGTGCAAACTCCTCCTCCTGGAGCTACACCCCAACCAACACAACAACAACAACACACAACGCCCGGCCGACGTTTTAAATAAAATCACGACGTTTTACAAAATACTCTTATTAAAAATGGAGAGCGAGGGAGAAAAATATATAGAGCATTAAACCACAGGCAAAGAGATCAAGTATTTGCTACAAAAACATAACTTTAACCATAAAAAAATTCAAGCTGGTGTTCAAGAAACATTGTGTCGAAGCTCTTGGCGACGGCAAGCCGCGTCAGAAGGCGCATCCTCGCCTGCCCTGAACGCCGCGGGCGCAACGCCGGCGACGTTCGCGCAAAGTCCCGAACCTCGCCGCTTGCACCGACAGGCAACACGAGCCCGGCACGCGCGGCGACATCTCATCTCGGCCGAATTGAGCTCTCAGCGCCACCGTCTTGAGACGTTTATGATAATAATCATAAATCATTATAATTATAGCAGAAACTCTCTCCCTCGTGTGGTCACTCCAGCCCGACGGTGGCGAAACGCCTGTGCAAAACCAACAGCTGCATCACCACCGCCACCACCGCCACCACCGCCACAACCACCACAACCACCACGACCATCACGGCGTCCACATCGTCAGCCGCACAGCGAATAAGGACGTGATGCTAACGTTCGCGTCGCCCGTTCCAACAGAGTCACCGGCTTTCCCCATGAGCGATTGAACAGCGCTCGTCACCCGGTTGGGATGCGGAGCTGGCGCCTGGGGTCACGTGCACAGCGAGCGGCTCGCAACCTCGGGCAGTGACCCCGGCGGTCTGCAAGCCGCGTTATCCGTGGCCTGCGAGAACTCGCGTTTACCCGCGGCCGAGCTCATCCTGTTATCCGCATCTTCACTCAGGACATGCGGCCACAGTCGGATCTGCCTGCTGATTCATTCATTTGATTGTCCTCGCGTGCGTTCTCCACAGCGACCCCAATGGCAATTCTGCGCTGTATATCGCAGTGTTTTGCATCGAACTAAGACCCATATCTAACACAAAGTGTGGACCTTGCCGATAAATATCCGTCAGTTCACCAGCATTGGCTCAAGCAGGCCTAGCTCTGCTGAGATACTGAATGTGTAATCCGGTGAAGAGTTTGCCTGTTTTAAACCAATGCTGCTGAAGTGATGCACTCACAGAAGGCTGCGAGTCTGGAGGGAGGTGGGCACGATGCCCACGCGGAGGGGACCCTCGGCGTGGGTCCTGAGCTCTCGTTCTCTCGTCCCACGAGTGTCATCTCTGCAGGCCTCACATCTCCATCTGCTCAATCTCCCGCATCTATCAGATCCTCACCCAGCTGCCACCGAGACCTCCACTCACGCCGACTCGACTATTGCAACTGTCTCTAAAAACTGCCTCCCCACGTACCTCGCCTCCCCACGTGCATCTCCCCACATCCCTCCATCGGCTGCCAATTAGATTCCAAGTCAATATCAACATCTTGAAGAACCTCCTTGGACTCGACCTTCCTACATCTCCCCTCTCATCTCACTCTACTCCCCTCCACGTACACTCCTGCCTCTCCCCTATTATCTCGCTCTGCTCCCCTCTACTCTGCCCCAGAACTAAGGCTTTCTGTCAAAGCTCAGGGGAGGTCGCTCACTCTCCTCTGCTGCCCCCAGCCTTCTCCCAGCAACCCGCGCTGTCGACTGCCTGCGTCTGTTCAAGTCCTGGCTCCAGACCTTCCTCCTCTGCCTATTGCTGCCTGCCTCCCTCTCTCGACATCAAACGAGCAAATACATTTCCCAAGGATGTCCACTTCCCACAGTCCTGTGCAGCATTTCGAGACGTGGCCGCGTGCAGGCGGTCTCGAAATCCGTGCCACGATTGTGCTGAGTATCACGACAACGGAGATAACGACTCAAATCCGCAAAATTTATTATCTGCCAACTGCCCCCCCCCCCCTCCACATGATTGCGGAAAAGAGGAGTTTCGCGGCGTCGTGAACATCAGGGGGTGGAATCCCGTGACTCCCGGGACGCGCACCGGCGGAGCGCGCGAGTCGCGAGTCGCGAGTCGGAGCCACCTCCTGCTGCTCGCACATCTCCCGTTAACGGCCCTCCAGATCCAGCGGTGGAAACTCCACATTCCTATGGCAGGGGCGAGTCTATCTACGGCGCAGCCACTGTTGACGTCCCCACAATGGTGGTACTTGGCGGTACTCGTTTTATCGACCACGCAGCGAAGGGACGGTGATGATGGGCCGAGTCGAACCTTCCCCAGCCAGGGTGCGAGCTCGCCGCGTTCTGGTTGCGGGCCGCTGGCTCTGCCAGCGAGCCACCGCCAGGCCACGGCGGCGTTCCTCCCTCTGATCTCTGCGGCCCGCGGTTCGTGATGTCGCCTGTGCCCAGCAGACTGGGCCGGCAAAAACGACCTTCGAGGAATTTACAAAGAGCGGTCTCAGCCATCCGTGTCCACTGGGGGGGAGAGGCACACGGTCGGCTTCAACGGGGGGTGGCATGGGGTGGGTTTAAAGGGGCACGGTTGGGTTTAAAGGGGCACGGTTGGGTTTAAAGGGGCATGGGGTGGGTTTAAAAGGCACACGGACGAGTTTAAAGGGACACGGTTCAAAGGCACATTAAAGGGCATATTAGCATCAGCCGAGATTTCTGTTGACACATTACATTTTAAAGGCATATCCTGAGTTTCAGTACACGTGTTGCTGCATAAGGCTGCGTGTTGGGGTTTAAGGGCATGTTTAGGGGTTCAAGGGTTTAAGGCATTTCTTGGGGTTTACTGCAGTTTAAAGGGGTCAGAGGGGCACGTGTGGCCATGCAGGAGTTTGAGGGTCAGAGCGTCTCCCCCTCTCTCCCGGACTCTCCACCGCGTCCCCCACAGCCAGAACCACAACACGTACGCTGGTTCGTTTCTTATTTTCTATCAACTGGAAAGTTCCTCTTAAAAATATAAATACAGCGGTGACGATACTTACAAAACCACTAAAATAACGGGGAGGGAGATTCCCGAGTGGAAAGAAGCGAGGGGACGTGGAGCGCCGAGTCCACGCGAACTGCGCTCGGCTACACCAGCGGGGGCGGCAGCGCGGCGATTCCAACAACAACAAAGACAGCGACGCTCTCGAGCCACCGGCGCGTTGCTCGCATGTCCGACGATCGCCGAGGATCTTCGCTGCGATCGACCGATCGGGAGGGGCGGGCGGGAGTCGCCCTCGGCGGAACGGTCGATCGCCGGAGCCTAGCGGCGGCGGCGTCAGCCGTCGTCCATGCTGAAGCTGCCCTGCCGGCTGAGCGAGCGCGGCGAGAACGGCGAAAGCAGCGAGTCGGAGAAGTCGTCCTCCAGGAGCATGTCCTCCAGGCGCGACGTCGGGTCCGGCTCGGGGGAGTAGACGCCCGGCAGACGCTCGTCCGCCGCGAAGCCGCCCGACGCTCCCCTCGCGTCTCCGCCGCCGCCGCCGCAGCAGCCGGCCGCCGCCGGGCCGAAGCTCGGCGTGCCGTCGACGGGGTCCGGCGTGCCGCGGCCGCCGCCGCACGACCCGGGGGCCGAGCGGAAGAAGTCGCCGTCGCGGCGAGCGGCGGCGCCGTCGTCGCCGCCGCCCGGCGTCTCCCGCTTGATGGGCGGCACGTCGGGCGGCACGGAGTAAGCGATGGGCACGCCGTGAGCCTGGGCCTGCATCTCCAGCTCCTGCGGGGGACGGAAGAGGAGAGAGGGGTCGGTGGCCGCGCCGGTCTAGGCACGAGCCTGGCGCGGCTACGGCGGGGGCGCGGCCGTCGCTCGTAGCGGAGCCTCGCGGTAATTCGACGACAAGGGCGGCCGGGGGAGCGCGGCGACGCCGCTCCCACCTGCAGGCGGAGCAGCAGGCTGCGGTTGGTGTGCTCTAGGCGCCGCTGCCTCAGCTCCATCTCCTTGGCTCTCTGCTGCTCCTTCTGCATGCGGCGGATGTAGTCGACGGACGCCTTGAGGATGGTACCCTTGTTCCAGCGCGTGTCCCTGCAATGCGCCGCATCGCGCACGCTTTGGATTTGCGCCATCCCAGAAAACGACAACGGGCTCGGTTTAGTGCGGTGACACGGCACGCGCGGACACGGCGACGCGCAGATACACGGACGAACGGACACGTAGATGCACGGACGCATGTGCACGTAAACGCACGGACGAACAGACACATAGATGAATGCGCACATGAACAAGCGGTGAGGGAGCCCAAACCAGCATCAACAATTGCCCAAGCTCTGTGCTCCTATTGGAATGTTTGTCTAAGTCCATGACTGAGTGTTCATACACACGGCAGGAAACCGGAGCACTTCGGGGAAAACCCATGAGTGCAAGGGGGTACTACTGCCATCATACCCTGGCCATAAGCGAGGAGATGGCGACCTCGAGACCCACGGGTAGGAAGGGCATTTCCACAAGCCGGCGTGTGATCTACCAACTCTTCCTGCTTCCACAGCGCTGGGCTACAGGCCAACTCAGTCTACGTGAGCCTATGGGTCTCTGTGCGAGTCTATGGGTGTCTGTGCGAGTCTGTGGATCTCTGTGCGAGTCTGTGGGTCTCTGTGCGAGTCTGTGGGTCTCTGTGCGAGTCTATGGGTCTCTGTGCGAGTCTGTGGGTCTCTGTGCGAGTCTGTGGGTCTCTGTGCGAGTCTGTGGGTCTCTGTGCGAGTCTGTGGGTCTCTGTGCGAGTCTGTGGGTCTCTGTGCGAGTCTGTGGGTCTCTGTGCGAGTTTATGGGTCTCTGTGCGAGTCTGTGGGGCGCTAACTTAATTAACAAAACATTTACCACATTTGCCAATAACACTGCGACCTTAAAATGAAATAAAAAATATATGGCAACATTTCTGGAAGTAGGCGTTCTTCATAGCCCATGCAGAAGGGATGTTGCCCAAAACGTCGCCTATTATTATGTTTTTTTTTTATTTCAAGGCCACACACGGACACGGACACAGGGCTGTTGTTGGCTCTTAGCGTGTCGAGCCGCTGTTGTTGTTGTTGTTGTTTGTTGTTGTTGTTTGCTGTTGTTTATTTGTTGTTGTTGTTGTTTGTGCGTCGCTGCGTGCTCTGTGTGAGTCGCTGGGAGCTGGCGACTCACGGGTCGCTCGACTTGGGGATGAGCGTCCCCAGCTCCTTGATGCGGTCGTTGATGTTGAATCTCCGTCGTCGCTCAACTGCCGGGGACAGACATGGGGTTAGAGGGGTCCCAGCGGATCGCGCGTGTGCCACCACAGCGGCGTTGCCTGTGCCCTGTGGCAAGAAAGGCCTGGGTTCGAGTCCTAACTCGTGGGCCTTTCTGCGTGCAGTTTGTACGTCCTCTGCATGGGTTCGCTTCCGGTTCTCCTGTTTCCTCTCACAGCTAAATAACACTCACACAGTGGAATCGGTATCAGCCCAAATATCCCAATGCTAATAAATCACCTGCATATTACTCGACGGAGATGACACACCTTCAGCAGAAGCCATGCCCGCTGTTGCTAAAGCTTGACAGAATCCTGGTGGTGGGCCTACCCTTACACGCTCGCCTTGGAAGTAGCGCAGCGCATTCGTCACGCAGGAGGGTGCCGCTGCGATTCACAGACGCGGCCTGCGGCAGCTTCACCATGGGGACACGGCTGCTGCTGCTGCTGCTGCTGCGGCTGCTGCTGCTGCGGCTGCTGCTGCGGCTGCTGCTGCTGCCACTGCTGCTGCTGCTGCTGCCGCTGCTGCGGCTGCTGCTGCGTGCGATTCCACCTGAGTCATTGGCGTTGTGATATTTCGGTCTCGGCATATTTTGACACGATGGCCGACTCGCTTCGAACGACGCCACGGGAGCTCTAACGTCCCACTCCGAGGAGATGGCGCGTGCCGCGATTACCGCCATCACGCAACGCCGCGTTAGCCACGGCCGCCTGCCCCATTCGAACCGCAAACCTTTGCAACGAGTTGCGAACGGAACACGCTGCTGCCGGGACGCGTCTCCGCCCCGTGAGTACCCACACTTCACCCTCGCCACGCGCCGCCTGCCCCTGTGTGCCTGCAGAGCGACTCGTACTCAGGTTGTGGTTGTCCTTCTTCTGGCGCTCCTTCACGATGGCTCTTGCTTCAACTTCTGCCGGAAAAAGCCCGGAATGAGAGACGCACACACTCGCGCTCTCTCACACTCGCTCTCTCGCACTCGCTCTCTCGCACTCGCTCTCTCGCACTCGCTCTCTCTCACCTAGCTCTCTCGCACTCGCACTCTCGCACTCGCTCTCTCCCACTCGCTCTCTCACACTCGCTCTCTCAAACTCGCGCACGCGTGCGCGTGTGGCTGCGTGCGACTCAGCCCCAAACGAGTACCTGGCGCGGTGCGTAAACATCACCGCTGCGGAGACGAAGGCCACCGGGCGTGGTACTGACCACCGACCCCATGCCGGCCTTCACGGGTGGTGCGCGCTAACGGCGCTTGCCCCACCAGCCTGTGGAAGGTCACCGGGGGGGATCTTTGTCTGTGTGTGTGCGCACGCCCACGCGCTCGTACCGGTCACCTCCTGCTTGACGTTGTCCAGCGTGGCCGGGCACGAGGAGCTGGTGAGCGCCACGGCCGGCACTGCGAGCGCCTGGCCCCCATAGCCGTCGTAGAGGCTGCTCGACAGCGGCAGCTGGGGGCACGCACGGGCGAGTGAGTGACAGGTGAACACGGACAGACATACAGAGACACAGAGGTGAACACACACACACACACGTAAAGACAGAGAGACTGACGAGGACAGAGACACAATGATACACACGCGACGCACACACGTGACACGCATACGTGATGCAAACGTGTGACACGCACACGTGACGCACACACGTGTGGCACGGACCGTGTTGGTGACTTCGAGGCGGGCGCCTATGCCCGTGTAGGGCTCGTCGTTGTAACTCGACTCCAGGCTGATGATGTCATCGATCACGTCGTCCATCTACACGCCGGAGACACACCGCGGTCACCGCATGGCATCGCCTTCACCGTCCCGGCGTGGTGCTGCCAGCACGACGAGGCATTTACCATATCGGTGTGGCAGGTTGGCAGACTCCACGAGGTCGGCTGCTGCTGCTGCTGAGCCCCGCTGAGCTCGCGCTCGGAACTCGAGCCGATGTTCAACATGGCCATGGGGCTGTTGGGGGCGCTGCTTCCCACGCTGGTGTGCAGCTGCTGCTGATGCTGCTGATGATGCTGCTGCTGATGCTGCTGCGGCAAAGGCAGGGAGCCCCCCGTGGCCTGCCCCCCACCCGGCTGAGCCTGCGGGGAGCGAGCCAGCGACTGGCTCGCCACTTTGTACCCGAGCGTCGTCGACAGGAACTGCTTGAGCTGCTGCCGCTGGGACTGCTGGATGTGGTACCGCGTCGGGTTCTCCAGGTGAGTCTGGACCTGCGAGCGAGAGCCAGGAGTAAAGTTTAAAGAGGTAATTTTGTTTCACGAGGTGAGAACGCGAGAGGCCAGGGGAGGAGGGGGGTTCTGGGTCGTCAACCACGACGAGATGGAAACCCCTTTGTGTTAGAGAACAGCCCACGAAGCAGATATCACAGAGCTGCATCTGAGATCCCTTCTTCAAATTGACCTCTGGTCCATACACAGCAGAGAGCAGCACTTTCTGCCGTGTGAGAATAATGTTCGTCACATGACCCTCAAACCGATATCTTTAATTCCCAGAATTTCACCAATTTGTGTAAAGCCAAAGCAACAAAGATCTATGGGGATCTGTGTGAGCCTATGGTTCTCTGAGCGACACATTTCTAATCGGGCTAAGACTATCAACTACACACATGAGGTCCCGGTTTTATTACAGTTGGCTGAAACCCGGACTCGAACTCAGCTACTCTGACCTCTGTGCCACCCGGCCACTGCTCGTAATTTGGATTAGAAACAAACTTGCGGACGAGTGAACGTCGCTGTTCCCAGTCGTGGGACCCGGACCGGAAAACCGGATTATCTTCCAGCCCGAGAATTAGAAACCCGCTCGCCAATTAACCCTCCTACTCGCCTCTAAGCTCTGGCTCTGCGAGCTCTGACTACGAGCCAGTGTTTCTCAGCGACCGTGAGCGCCGGTTTAACTCGTTCGCGGTGGGCCGAGCAGTTCCACGCATCGCCACTTGTGAGGCGGGTGAACATTGGTGACCTCGCAAGTCGCCGATCACTCGCGAAGCGGTCCTAAAAGGTCGCTGTTGGCGTTCTCGCAGATTCCCGAGTCTACCCCTAAACAAGACGGCGGGCGTCGCGTGAGCCGCTCCCCCCCCCCTCTCACCTTCAGCACCTCCACGGGGACGGGCGGCAGCGGGGGCCGTGCCGGCAGGCTCATGGAGATGGCCGGGCTGGGGGGCGGCCTGGTCACCAGCGGCAACAAGTCCGAGCGGTGCTGCCCCGTCAGCGATCCGCACTGCGTGCCTTGCTGCTGATGGTAGTGCTGCTGCTGCTGGTACTGGTGCTGTAGCTGCTGCTGCTGCTGCTGCTGTAGTTGCTGGTGCTGCTGCTGCTGCTGGTAGTGCTGCTGCTGCTGCTGCCGCCTCTGTTGCAGCTCCCTTCTCTCTTGCTCCTGCAGCTGCTCCCGCATGAGCTCCTGGCGGAGCTGCACACGGGATGACATCGCGCTGCCGCTGCCGCCGCCGGTGGCGGTGGCGGTGGTGGTGGCGGTGGTGGCGGCGGTGGTGGTGGTGGTGGTGGTGGCGGGGCGCGCCGACGGACACACGCACGGGTGGACGGACACACGGGCGTGGGAATCCTCCCTGCCCCGATCCGGTTCGCGGATTACTCCTGCAGAGGGGAGAGGGGGGGTAGATGGGGTAGGGGGGGGGGCACGGAGGGGGGAAGGTGAAAGTCACACTAATGGCGCTGGCTCGGGTACCACGGAGAGCGACAACGTGCGGCTCACGCACGGCCCATGGGAGGGCCTCTACCAAAGGCCGCTTGAGGGAGGCCCTCCACAGTGGATTTGGCCTACTCATCCACAACGCTACTATACACCTTGAGGGTCACGGAAATAATCTGACAGAGCAAATGAGACGGAAATTAAGAGACTGACAGTACAAATGGCACAATACAAACGGGACAATTTAAACAACAACAAAAAACATTGATTCTAGAATTTATATCTGTCACAATCTTAACAGCTAAACAAACTACGGAATAATATTAAATTACTTCACCTAAACAGCACTCATCCTGAGAGCGGTCACGATCTCTGTGTGTCTTCCAATTGCTGTGGGCATCACGTCACAAGATGAATATTGCTTTAGTTCAGAACCCGCACAGAAAGTAGCGCACCACCCTGTGTCAGAAAACTGTCTCAAATCACGGCTGCTTGAGCCGTCACTTCACACCGGCCTCGACGCCTCTGCACAGAAGTTGTGAGTTGACTCGGCACATCATCCCTTCCTCCAGGGTGGGGGGGGGGGGCTTGCTAAAATGAGCACCACGTTGTAGCAAAGTCCCTCATTAGCCTTGCAGGACTGTAAACAGGAGATGAGCACCAAGTCTCAATGCTCATTTGAGCAGCGGTATGTGGCTCTGACTTGTGACTGAAGTTGCTTCAACGGGCAACTTTATCTCCACTAATAGCACACATAGCCCACTTCTGACAGGCCGATGCCAACGTTCAGAATGTCGGTGGCTGTGTCACCTTGTGCTACACAGGGACAGCTGCCGTCAGGGGGTCCTCTAAGCCGGGCATTGGAATGGTGGCGATGAGATGCGACGTACGGCGCTGCGGCATTGATGCGAGCAGCCTGTACACGGTGATCCTGAACGTAGTTCACCTTCTCAGAGCTGGACACCCGCAACTTTTGTCTCTGATGTATTTTGTAGTCGTTGGTGACTGAGACCACCGACTCTCCGCACCTGAGAACCCGGGTGGCTGAGACTCAAGACTCCAACCCACGATCTCAGCCGTGCCATTTCCGCCTCCCTGGCACGGCCATTGTGAACCCTCTGAGCCAAGGGCTCACCTCAAGAGCCTCAAGCGCGAGGAGGATGTGCATCGGCTTCGAATTCGTTTTATTCGGTCCCTTCGGGCGACAATCCCCGCCCGGCATTGTGAGCACGGCGCGCAAACCCCGAGTGTGGGGGACGCACCGTCGGTCCGTCCCTCGAGCAGCCACAGTTGAACAAAGGAGCACAGCAAAGCCTTCAAGACAAACCCTCCTAATTTCCCCGGCCCGCCTCTCGGGAGAAGGCAACAGTTCTGGGAATCCGACGCAGGGCTCCACTGGGGTTGGGCCCGAGAGTTAATTGATAAAGTCAGACGGGTGGAGGCGTGGGGGGGGAGTTCCTGTACAGCCACGGCGATTACTGTGACATGGCTAATTGCAGGATGGGGCATTGTGGGGAGTGAGTGGGTGGGTAGGTAAGTGGTTGGGTGAGTGAGTGGGTGGTTGGTGGTTGCGGTGGGAGACATTGGGAGCAGGAGCAAAGAGGGATGACCGACAGGTCTGAGAAGGGGAAAACTTCCCGTGGAGTTTTGTACATTTTCTTGCAGTGATCTGTTCCCCGGCGTAACCCCCCGATTGCGCCCGCGGCGTCGCGGCGCCACGAGACGAAGGACCCGCTCGAAGGCCTGTGCAGCAGCACGGCCCTTCGTGCGAGAGAAGGGCCCGCAGAAGCGACGGATACATTTCGTTTCATTCACACCGTGTTCGACCACTACACTCCAGGGACCCACACACTCACCCACACACTCACCCATACTCACCCACCCACACACTCAACCACACACTCACCCACACACCCACCCACACACTCACCCACCCGCTGACCCAGTCACCACACTCTAGTTCATAACAATTCCCTTTCTGATTCTTCCCTCGTATCGCTCCTTCGTCTCAAAGTCTATTGAGTTGGCTACGTTTGAGTTTTGTTTATTTGTTACATGGTCCCATTCAGCCAGTTGCCTGGCTATTTCATGCGGAGTGGGTGAGCGCAGCAGCAAAAAAACAAGCACATTGACATCGCAGAGTACAGGATCCTTAAGGTATATTGCGCAACTTATTTACATCCATAATGAAACCGTTATAATAAGAGCCAACCAACTAGCATGGCTGGCTATGTACGGTGCGAAAGAAGTTAAACATACATAACTTTCATATAGTGCTGTCTGTTGTTCGCTGCGTGAAGTTTTCACACCTTTAGCCTGTGCTCAGTAACTGTGTTGATTTTAAAACCGGGTCCTCGAGTGATGGGCTTAGTCGATCACCAATGGCTCACGGAGACTCACAGATTCACATAAAGCCCCACAGACTCACGCAGAAAGCCCCACAGACTCGCACAGAGAGCGGGTAGTGTGACACACCCCACCACACACGGCACCGCTGAGAAGCCCTCATCGTCGCCGTGACAGTGAGGTCACGGCAGGTCTCGCCGGGCGGGAGATGCGCCGCCTGATTACCCCTCGCCTCTCGCGGGCGACGGGGCCAGCCCGGGTCACGCCGCGCCGCCCGCGCCGCCCACGCCGCCGCTCGCCAGCTGCGGAAACAGCCGCCCGGGCGCCCAGCACCAGGAATGCGGATCGCGAAGGCGCCGCGCGCGGAGCGTCGATTTGTCGACAGCGTGCCGCCATGCGGGGGCCCCCCGTCACCGCGACCCCCACGTCACCGCGGCCCCCGCCCGCGGCCCCCGCGGCCCCCGCGTCACCGCGGCTTCTCGCCCCGTCGCTCCGCCGCGAGGACGCACGACGCGTGCCGCCCGAGACCGGAGCCGCAGGCATCACGACGCCACCGACCGCCACACCGCCTCGCTGCCATTCACAGGGACATTACTCTGGACATATATAGGGATATTAGTCTTGGCATTTATTAGGGCATTGGATTTGATTAGGATGCGGCTGGCACTATGTGCAGGGCATGTGAGGAGCTGCGTGGTCTGTTGAGAATGAGAAGCAACTTCAAAGGACCTCAGAATTAGTTCTGTGGTGTCATCTTTTCCTGGAGGTCATTCGAACTCAAGGTGGGGCAGATAAACGGCCATCGTTCATCTTCGCCGTTCAGCAATGCGTGCCTACACCACTAGGTGGAGACAGGAGGGACTGGCAGAGGAGGGAGACGTGGGGAGTGATTTGGCACTTGCAACACGAGTTGCACTGGCATTTGAGAATGTGATAATGGACCAAATCGCTCGCAACTTAAACGAAACAGATGGATATACAAACAAATAGCCAGACGAGGAATACACACAGTTGTATGTACCATACAGCCAGGTCCAGGGATAGATGGACAGAGCGATGGGTAGATCGGTAGAAGGATAGGCAACGTACAGATGGATATGGAGTTAAACAAGGCAGGAGTTATACCTCTATAATACTGGAGAATGAGTCAATGCAATGGCTGGCAACCCACATTAGACAGAGAGATATCAGCAGGCAGACAGACACATTGACACAGATGCGTCATTTGACCATGACCAGGTAGGAGCCCATTGGGAGTACAGGGGGGGGGGGGGGGGGGCGCAGTGGTTAGCGCACTGCTCTGTTCCCAGCTCCGGCTAACATCAGTGGCGAATGATCATCTGAACTGGGCCTGGCCCCGTCCACTTCCATCAACTTGCACTGACCTGATTGGAGAAGTATGGCCAAACAACTGACACAACTCCTCATCCAGCAGTGGATGACACAATGGCTGTACATCATGGAGGTAACACAGTATCACGTATTCTATGTCACAGGAGACCACTGTATTTCAAGCGATACCTGGGTTCGAGTGAATTCCCCTAGCCACGTGATGCGTGTGTGCTTGCTTAGGTATGTGTGTGTGTGAGTCCTCACAGCACTTGCCCCATCAGCCTGCGTAGGCTACACGGGGGAGCTGTGTGTTTGTTGTGAGCGATGATGAAACGGCTTCGTGTGCAGGTGCCGGGTGTATCGTTGCACCACAGCAGGGGGGGGGGGGGTGAGGCGGCCTGAAGAGTCCTTCGTGCAGCAGTGGCTCGGCCACGGCCGATGTGACGGCGTGTGGGGGGGAGCGGTGGCGCAGTGGTTAGCACCGCTCCGCGCTACAAACCCGTCGACCCCGAGTTCTATTCCTGGTCACAGATAGTATCGGCCCGCAGCGTTACTTGAGCCAGTCGTGGGCCTCGCTTACGTCACCTCAGCCTTAAGCTAGCAACTGATCCAGTGCGTTGCAAGCTCAGGGAGACAAAGGCGGCTGGACCTGGTGCTGACCACCCCACCCCCTCGTGCACCGTGCCGACCTTCGTAGGTGCTCGCTAACACTTGCCCCAACAGTTTCTTAGAGGCTGTACGGGGGATCTTTGTCTTTGTAGTGCGTGTGTGTGTATAAATACACACTTGGTATGTGTGCTATGTGTTTGTGTGTGTGTATTTGCGTGTGCGGTATGGGTGTGTATGTATATGCGTATTTCACACGTGCATAGGGCGATCAAAAACGCACGTACTGTACCAATGTGTGCGCCCTGCAGATGAGAGTTTTCAATCAGTGCAGGTCACCCGCCGTGATGTATGGATCGGAAACTTGGAAAGTGAGAAAATAAAATGGAACAAAAGCTGAGAAGTGCACAAAGAAGTGATGACAGACGCATGCTTGGGATTACACTGGAGAGACCCAGAGAGTGAGAGACCGAGAGAGAGAGACCGAGAGAGCGAGACAGAGAGAGTGAGAGACCGAGAGAGTAAAACGCGGATTGGAGAAAGCACGCAGGGACATCGCCACGCTGCCTGTGAAGAGACGCGAGGCTTGGGCAGGAGGCGCAGGGCGAGAAGGTTGTGACTGACCACGAAGCTGCAGCCACAGGACGGAACGCGCCTGGGG